TGTGGGTGAGTTTTAGGGATGGAAATGTGTAAAATTGTACTTTTTGAGATTTCTTTGTTTTCATTTCTATTTTTTGGTTTTTTAGAAAATAACCAAACAGGCCCTTATTTGAAACCAACAATTATAATCTTAATTATTTATATATAGAAGTAAAACTAACTGTAGACTTATTCTATTTCAAAGCATAGCAGAGAATTTAAGGTAATACTGAAATGATAGGTTCATAAGAGTAAAAATATGATCGTATTAAACTTTATATGTTGAACCAAATAAAAAAAATGTGGATATGCAGTTATGCTTTAGAAAATACGAAAATTATATATATAGTTTGCATAAACTAAGTGGATAAAAATTCATTTAAGGTCAAAGACTTGTTAGCTTAGTTCTTCATAACTAAGTGAAACTAATAGAATAATTATTCTTAGGAGTAAATTGCAATGATTGTTTCAAAAAGTTTGAAGCATGTGCATATTTCAACAAAAAAATGTGCATTTAAAATATAATGCACAATTACAAAATAACTACAAGAGAAATTAGCTTTTGCATAGAAAGTATATTATACTAGATAATCTCACTTGACTATTATCTTATAGATAAAATGAGTTAAGGACGAGCACTGAAGGAGGACAATGTATAATAGAGGAGCTTGCTTAACTATCATCATAACAAGTCAATGACAAAAGAAATAAAAGGAAGGGAAACGTTGCATATTTCATAACCATAATATATTGTATAACCTCACCCTTTTTGTATTTCTTGTACTTCCTCTATTAGAGCTTCACTTCTATATGTATACCCCCTTTCTCTTCTTTCTTTTTCTTGTTTTCTTGGTTTAGTGTGGTAGTTGGCCCAACCAAGACCCCATATATATTGTCATGGCCTTGGTTGATTTTTGTATTTTTTTATTCTTATGATGATTTACATGGACACCTCATGGTTATCATAATTTCTCATGATGATTCACTTGGACACCTCATGGTTATCATAATTTCTAATGATGATTCACCTGGACACCTCATAGTAAAAAAATTTACTTGGGTGAGATAAGCATTCAATCCTCTAGATATTTTGAGTTGCACTTTTAAATAAAAGGAACCTTAATTGTAGTTGTATATTAGATTATACTAGTAATAATAATGGATAAACAATTTCATGCAGTATTAATTTTGGTCATATGTCTTCTAGCTATTCATGCAAAGTTGCAACGTGCTAGATGCGGTGTTACAGTACCTAATGGCATTTAAGTATGGGTAGTTCAAAATTCGTGATTTTGTGTGCTATAACTCACAAATTTTCTTCATTTTCGTTTATTTATGTACTTCAAAATTCACGATTTTCATGGACATGCGATTCCGGTCAAAGTTCGTTTTTCCGATCAAATGACAATGCAATACGCATATTTCAAAATAGGACTTAATGGCTCTAACCCACGATTTTTGTCAATTTTTTGTTTCTTTTGGCTAAATGACAATTATGGGTGCTTTGAAATTCACGATCTTCATGAACTTATCCACAATTCTTTTATCTATTTTCATTCATTTCTTGCAATGGCAATTATTTATGCATACTTCAAAATTTACGATTTTTATGTGCTATATAAACTACAATTTTGGTCCATTTCTGTTGGATTCAATCCAATGAAAATTAAACATGCAAACTTCAAAATTTTGTGTTTTTCATGAGCTACGAACTCAATGACAATTAAGTTTAGGTAGTTTAATTCATTATTTTCATGGGCTACTCACAATTTTTCTTCATTTTTGTTCATTTTGTCCCAATGACTATAAAATGTGAATACTTCAAAATTCACGTTTTTCATGGGCTATAAAATGTGGTTTTAGTCTAATTTCATTTTACCAATTGAATGGCAATTAAGTACGTGTATTTCAAAATTTGTGATTTAGTTGACTCTAATCCACGAGTGTTGTTAATTTTCGTTTCTTTTGGCTAAATGACAATTTAGTATGGATAGTTTAAAAATTCACGATTTTCATGGACTATAGCTCACGATTTTTTCATCATTTTGTGCAAATGACAAGAAAATATGAGTACTTTAAAATTCACGATTTTCATAGGCTATAACACGGTTTTAGTCAATTTTTGTTTTTCTGATTGAATGACAATTTAATGCGCGTATTTCAAAATTCGCGATTTAATGGATGCTTACCCACAATTTTTCGCCAATTTTCAAGTTTTTGGGCTAAATGATAAGTATGGGTACTTCAAAAATTTTGATTTTGATGAGCGATAACCCGCAATTTTTGTCCATTTTCATTTGTTCCACCCAAAGAAATTTTTTTCTGCATTTACTACAAAATTTACGATTCCTATGGGCTATAATCCATGATTTTCATCCATTTTCGTTGGTTTCGACCTAATGGAAATTAAGTATACAAACTTCAAAATTTTGCAATTTTTATAAACGACAATGTACAACTTTTGGTCATTTTTGTTTATTTCAACCAAATGGAAATTAAGTATACAACTTCTGGATGTAAACGCTAAGTCTATTTTGGGGGGATTAGTGTTGTTTTGTGGAATAAGAAATTCTGTTTGAGGCTTCACATGTAAGGACTTCGCGTCCGAAGAAGCAATTCACGTGCCAAACAAAAGCACTTCACATGCTAGAGAGAATTTCAAAACTCAAAATTTATTCATAATGGAATTAGACCATTATGACTTTATTTGCAGAGAAAAACTAAATCTGGAAACTAAGTCAAAATCCTAGCCAAATTCTATTAAAAAGGAAACAAAGATAAAATCTTTGAGATCTTTAAAATCCTGAATCAAATATTACTAAAAAAATTCTAATAAATCCTAAATTTTTTCGATCAACGACTGACAATAGTCCTGCATCAATACATCCCCAAATGCACAATTTTGTTTTTGCATCTTCCTGGTCATCAACCAGACAATATTTTTATTTTTATAATTTTAAAGCTAGAATTCACTTTTACTATTTGAGTGTGCTTTTGCCCATGTTAACCTATTGTAATTGTCACATGCTAAGCACATGTACATATTAATGTGATATTTTTAGGTATGCAATTGCTTACCGCACAATGACTTCCTACCAGTATGACATTTGTGAATTATTTAATTTGCTGACTTTTATATAGTACTGATCCTTAAAAACGTAAGTGTATGGTGTAAATCTTATTTTACAAACAAAACATAATGATAATCATTTGTTTTTAGTAAAAATAATAAAAAAATTTACTATTAGAAGTTATTTTTTTATAAATTTCACTGTAGAACATATTTTAAATTTGCTTCTTTTATATTGTTGGTCATTTGTGTAAACAAGATAGAAGACTACAATAAGAGGGAGAGATGGAGGGCAAAGACAAAATCTGAAGGACACATATTACTGCATATTTTATAGTATATAGATATAGATGTGATTGATGCAATTGCGGAGACCTTTATCAAAACTTAAAGAGTGAATTGCGATCTAAATGTGCTTATGTTGAGAATAATATTAGCTGAGCTCATGACTCCATGAAAACAAAGATTTCATCCTAAACCCCTTTTTTGGCTAGTGCAATTTACGGTGATTCTACTTCAACAAATTTTTCGTAAGATGGCTAAGATAACAACAATGCATTACTTGTCAAAAAGTTTGAGCGATTGAGAAACATCTTGGCCAAGTCTGAAACATGTATGGTCAGTGTTTTAGTTTTCATCTACAGCTCCTCTTACTAAACGTTTATCTTTATCTTCTGTATACACCCCCAGACATGCGCTTCAGCTGTTATCACCTGCTAGCATCGTTGCCAGAACAAATGGAAGAGATAAAATATGCAAGGTAAAGAGAGATCAATTGTTTACTTGTTGATTTTTCCTTGATTTTTATGTAATTATCAACTTTGTCTCAATGTCATTGCTAGTCTGATGTCGAGGAAGTGAAAGCTCTGTATCTGGATGCAAAATCTTCCGCTAGACTTCTACAGGAGCAGCTGGAGGGATACATTTGTTGACTGAGCTCATTTGTCTACTCTGACCAAAAAAATTGTGCTCTCTTATGAGATTCAGCCTTGTAATTGCAGTATTTGAAATATGGAGAGTATTTGTGTTTGCATCGTTATGAAATGTTTGTAAGAAAAGGTTGGTGGATGGAAGTCGAGGTGTTGAACTGTTTGACAAGTGAAAAACTCTGTAACTATTTCCGATCAAATGCCATGTCCGGTTAGAGATGAAGTGATGGAATTAAAAAAAAGAAAGGAACGAAGAGAGAAAAGAGGGAATTTATTCTTGAAAATTTCTCTCTAAAGAATTTAATTTACTGTGAGGTGTATTATAGCTTAAATTGTTTATTTAATTTTCTAAAGGGAAGTTCATGTCTGAATGCCTCTCTGACGGTCTGGAAAAGATACTGTTGAGCTATTTATTTTTCATTTTAAGTTTCTAAAGCATTTAAGTCCATGATCAAGAATAGTATTGGTTTTGTTTTCGTTGTCAAGCATGTGTATGTAATATGAGAGTCATTCCTCGAGAATCAAACTCATACTACCATACACATACTCGAATGCTATTGCATATAAGTTTTGCTTTAATTTTTAATATGGGTATCAAAAGGCTTCTCTCATTCACATTTGTTTTTATCATGAAAGTATATACAATTGATTTTGTTGGTCATAAATACTTGTGAAACTCTGTTTGCATAGAAGTTTCCTTTATGATCTCGCAATTTCAAACATTTGAAACGTATTGTACCATCCCTAAAGATTGATTTATGCAAATATCCGTGTACCGTAGCATTTTCCTAATCAACACAGCGCACATCCTGGTGATTAGTTTGCTTTTGTAAGATTTTGAAGTTTGCTGCTGCTACTTGTCATAGCACGGACCAAAGCTCCAGCATCATGTGGGCAATGGCTCGATATGTAGCATACGATCTCTTATACCTGGCTGTATGTTATCATGAGCATTTATCTTTCATCACATTTCCTCGGTATCACCACCAGCTTACATTGAGCATAAAAGGAAATACGGTTTGTAGACAATATGCTGATTGTATTTCATATTCGTTAAAAAAATGAACAATTTTGTTCTTGTGACATATGCTGCAGAAAATACTGCCACATTAGCAGTCTGCCACTCACGAGCTCATATATTGATTCTACTTGTATTTTCATTAGATATACTGAAAAATGACTACAAACCCCATGGAATTACTACGGTGAAAGAATGATGAATCTCATGAATCAGTTACAACAATTGAGCCATCCTAGGTTGGCCACCACGGTCACAAATCTGAAATGGAGCGCAAGCTTTTGCTCTGGTATATCCTGATTTGTTTCTGAATCTGTTCAAAAAATTTGAAATCTAAGATTGAGAAATTTAATCCCGTAAGTAGCAGTAGCTTTAGATAATCAAAAGAGATCATCAATCTCTTGTGGTAGCACAAGTAATCTAAAGTTTTATAATGAGCATTAATCTGTAGTGTTAGTTAATACAAAATAAAAACACGGCCTTTTAAAAGATTAGTTTGTAAGAATGTAAGGGAATATGAATAATCTGATCTAAACTCAGCATCCACATTTGACAAGTATGGATACGACTACGGTTAATGGTAAAATAACATATTTGACTAGGTATTTGAATATCGGATACATAAATCAGAATATATCACAACATGAAAGACTATGTGCATAGAAAGTCTGGCTAATAATACATATATATAAATGAAATTTCTTACTGAAATTTATAAGTTGAAGATCGACTCATTTTAACTTCAAAACTGCAGTCACAATTAAAAATGTACTTATACGATGAAACAGAATCATGAGCTACAGAAAACCATTATGCTGCAGGGTTTATCATCCCATATCAGTTAGTGGTCTTGTTGTTCAAAGTTAAGGCAAAATGCAAACTTCTTTAAAAAAAAAAACCATGTGAAAGCACAAACTGAGGTTTAAAGAAATTATACCTCATGATAAGATAACAAGCCCAAGGTACATAGATCCGCACAAAAATATAAAAGATATCATACCCCTGCAGGAATAAACGGAATAACTATGTGAACAGAAAACGAGAACCGAAACATCTCCAAAGATTCAATAGCTTGTTTGAAACCAAAGCAATCAACCCATGACATTTGTACCAAAATTTTGAAGTTTTAAATCTTACCAGACGACTCCCCATGCAACACCATTGCAAGGGCAGGGACAAACCTCAGCAAATTTCTCAGCATCACTTGTATTCACTCTTCGAGATATCAAATCATCATAAATATCTGAAAACAAAATGCTTATTTCAGTGGAAGTAACATTCAATGGTTAAGAAAATAATCATTCTTACTGCCTGTGATGAGTTTAAATATACCAAAAAAAAAAACATTCTTATGTTGTAAAAATATCATACCATAAACTGAAAATAGGCTGTTCATCACACCTGCATTTCGCATAGTAGCAAATGAATCATCTTCAAGTAGATGACAAACAAGAAGAACCATTTCTAGTTAAAGATTTGAAGGGAGTACGTAGATCTTTTTACCTATAAATAGAATGGCATAGCGAAGAATGCGGACCTTTGTAAATTCTTGCAGAACCCAAACAACAGCCAGAAAAATAATGAAGCCTGGAGTTTAAAATGCTTATTAGATAACTATCCTGTCTGCTGGTGTCAGCTTATCAATTACAATTAAAAGAACGACCACTCACTAACTTACCAATACAAAGTCCTCGAAGAGTCCACTGCGTATTTACCGATATTCAGTCAGCCGTTTGATAGCCAAATTTTATAGTTCAAGAGAGAGATCATAGAAATTTCAGATTGCACTAAAATTTGAATGAGAAAATTAACAGACTTACATTTTTAGCAACAAAAAGTACAACAAACAATGCAGCAATAAAACAACCCGCAGCAATTTTTGAAGCAAGAATGTTGGTGGACGTCAGAATGAAAACCATTCCCCAAAATGACGAGCCAAGATCTGGAGGCCAGGAAAGAGGCAGAGCATTGCAAGAACAAACATCATAAGCCATAATCGAATATAGATAACATACAAGAAAAGAAAACATGGAATCTCAACAATTGATTGAAATATGCTCCAAGACAAGACTTCTAAACATTCAGATATATGCCTCAAAATGAAAACAACACATTACTGTGAAAATGTAGAATAGTAGGTTGCATTACATCCAGCAGGCAAGATCACCCAGTAGATACCACCACGGGTTTGTGTGGCGCCACCCTCATTTGCATGGACCTGAATACCTTCCACCTGTAAAACACTGTAGTAAATAGGTATTGAATGCATTCAATTAAATGACCAAAACTTTAACGCATACAGGATATAAGATATCTCTCTGACATCTAGACATTATTGCTGCCAGTTGACAGAAAAATCCTCATACATCACATAGTAGGATAAATATGCCTAGAAGGATGTTTGCATCCTTAAGGTCAAATATTCCACATTACAGTCAAATAAATCCATATGTATAGGAGTAATCAAGAGTTGCGGAAATATATCTAGTTAGTATGCAAATAAGAGATAAGTGGAAATATTTCTAGTTAGTATACAAATAAGAAATAAACTTAACTTCATAAATATGAATACTTTTTCACATAGTTCACTGCCCTGTTTCACAGATCAACATATCCACGTCATTAATTGTATCCTGGTTTTGTATCCACCCTACTGTTACAGAAACCCATCTTAAGCAACAGATATGTTATCTGAATTGAATACTGCAGAAAGATATTGATTGAGACGCTTTGCACTTCTTTGCACAGGCAAATGTTAATGCTTCATGTAAGAGAGTGCATAATGCATTTTGCACTGCACCATCATGAAAAGTCACAGAAGCACACTATCATATTCCATCACTTCACCAGCTTAAATAAAAACAGCAAGTGATACCATATCATATTGTGCAGCTTCTGTAACTTGTCAGGATGGTGCAGTGCACATTAGAAAATGATTTATGTACTCTCATAAAAGTGGACAAAATTTATGATAAAGTAAAACTTCAATATACTCTCATGAAGTGTACTAACGGTATAACTTCAATATACTAAGCGTCAGAAACAATTACCTATACATTTCAAGTGCAATGGAGATAGGTGTGTGATAAAGGTTTTCCCTTAAGTTGCATGGGTACAGGTACGAGTACAAGACACGGAAAATTTGTAAATGGTAGGGTACAGGGACACGGCTAAAATACATGGGCTATAATCATAGTTCTGAGCTAGATATGCATACGACCCATTGAAATCATAACTCTTAACTGAATAAGGGCAGGAACTGTATATGTGAAATGAATAATATTTGTCTATAAGGATCATATGATGAGTATTTAAATCAAAACATGTATTTATAATTGAGTACACGTCTGAAGAAATGTATGCATATATTTAAGGAGTGTCCAAGAAGTGTTGTGTGGAGGTATAGGAAGTGTTGGGTATTCATACAGCTTCATGTTAGAAGTACCCATGTAACATAGGTTTTCCCCAGCAAGAGTATCTCGTTTATATCTGTCTGCATGGAATTTAAGCCCTATCCTACTGAAGAGTTTGCATAACTGTTAGAGGTTAAATTAGCACAAGTATGATCAAGGTCTTAACTATCTCCTAGCATGTTAGTAGTACCAATGGTTTTTGTCCATTTTTTTTATTGTTTCGACCAAATGACAAGTAAATATGGATACTTGAATATTTGTTATAACCGATGATTGTTGTTCATTTACGTTTGTTTCGATACAATGACAATAAAGTATGCGGATTTTAAAATTTTGCAATTTCATGAACCCTACGATTTTTGTCCATTTTTGTTCATTTCGACAAAATTACAATAAACTTTGCATACTTCAAAATACACAATTTTCATCGGATATAACCCATGAATTTTGTCTATTTTCATTCATTTCAATCCAATAAAAATTAAGTTTGCGTACTTCAAAATTCGTGATTTTTATGGGATATAACCCATGATTTGGCAAATTTTCCATTTTAAGGCAATGAAATGCATATTTTAAAATTCACGAACATGCTATTTTTTTTTTATTTTCATACGTTTCGACCTAATGGGACTTAATTATGCGTAGTTCAGAATTCACGATTTTCATGAGCTATTAACCCATGATTATTGTTCATTTTCATTTGTTTCGACTCAATGAATATTAGTTATTCGTTGTCCAATATTCGTAATTTTCATGGGCTATAACCCACGATTTTCATCCATTTCCTTTGGTTTCAACCCAATGACTTTGACAATTAATTATGCGTGCTTCAAAATTTATGATTTTCATGGGCTATATAACCCGTGATTTTTTTTCTATTTTCATTGGTTCCGATCCAATGGAAATTAAATATACAAACTTCACAATTTTGCGATATTCATGAGCAACCTACAACTTTTGTCTATTTTCGTGTGTTTCAACCCAATGACAATAAAATATGTGGGCTATATAATCCATGTTTTCCCTCCATTTTTGCGGTTTCAATCCAATGGAAATTAAGTGTAAATACTTCACAATTTTGCGATTTTCATGAGCAAACAACTTTTGTTCATTTTCGTGGGTTTCATCCCAGTGGCAATAAAATGTGTACTTCACAATTCACGATTTTTGTGAGCTATAACCCTCGATTTTAGTTAATTTTCAATTTTTTGATCAAATGACAATTAAATGCTTCTATTTCAAAATTCGTGATTTAATTGACTCTAACCCATAATATTTGTCATTTTTCGTTTCTTTCGACTAAAATGACTGTAAAGTATGGGTACTTTCATATTTGTGATTATCATCGGCTAAGCCACAATTTAATTCGTTTATTTCTTTCCAATGACAATTAAGTACGCGTATTTATATTTCTTGAATATTCAAAGGCTATGTAACCCACAACTTTCAATTTTCGTTCATTTCGATCTAATGACAATTACGCATTCATAGTTCCAAATTCGCAATGTATAAGCTTTAACTCATGATTTTGTTCAATTTTGTTCTTACAAATGATAATTAGTATGCATGCTTGAAAAATTCATGAGTTTCATGCACTATAACCTGTGATTTTAGTCAAAAATTTTTTATTTCGATCCAGTAAAAATTAAGCTTATGTACTTCAAAATTCACGATTTTCATAGGATATAACCTACGATATTGGCAAAAAAAATTTCCACTTTGAGACAATGGCAATTAAGTATGTGTATTCCAAATATTGCAATTTCATGGCCTATAACACACAATTTTTGTTCATTTTCATACATTTCCATCTAATGTCACTTAACTAGTAGTTCAAAATTCACAATTTTTATTGGCTAGCCTACGATTTTCGTCCATTTTTATTTGTTTCAACCCGAAGACAATTATTTATTTGTATATCAAAATTTATGATTTTCATGGGCTATAACCTATAATTTATGATTTTCGTCCACTTTCTTGGTTACGACCTAATGGAAATTTAGCATACAAACATCAAGGTTTTACGATTTTCATGAACACCAACAACTTTCACCAACAACTTTTGTCCATTTTCACGTGTTTCAACTCAATAACAATTAAGTATAGGCGGTTCAAAATTTGTGATTTTCATGTGCTGTAACCCACCATTTTTCTTCATTTTGTTCATCCATCCAAATGACAATAAAGTATGAGCACTTCAAAATTCAAGATGTTCATGAGCTATAACCGACAATTTTAGTCAATTTTTATTTTTTTGATTGAATGACAATCAAGAAAGCATGTTTTAAAATTCGCAATTTAATGGACTCTAATCCACAAATTTTGACAATTTTTATTTCTTTTAGCTAGATAAAAATTAAATATGAGTAATTTAAAATTCACGATTTTCAAGGGTTATAACCCACAAATTTTCCATTTTCATTCATTCCACCTAATGAAAATTATTTATGCGTACTTACTAATTTATGCTTCTCATGGACCAATAATTTTTGTCCATCTTCTTTGGCTTCAATCCAATGGAAAGTCACATACAGCCTACAAATTTTCTCCATTTTAATGCGTTTCAAGTCAATAATAATTATGGGTGGTTCAAAATTCAAGATTCTCATGGGTTGTAATCCATAATTTTTCCGATTTTCATTCGTTTTGATCAAATGACAATAAGTATGAGCACTTATAAATTAACGATTTTTATGGGCAATAACCCACAATTTTAGTCAATTTTTGTTTTTTTCGATTTAATAACATTTAAGTACGTGTATTCCAAAAATTTACCATTTGATGGCCTCTAACAAATGATTTTGGTCAATTCTGGTGTTTTCAACTAAATGACAATTAAGTACGATTAGTTCAAAATTCACAAATTTCATGGGCTTAACGATTTTTATGGATAATAACCCACGATTTTAGTCAATTTTTGTTTTTTTGATATAATAACAATTAAGTACGTGTATTTCAAAAATTTACGATTTGACGGCTTCTAACAAACAATTTTGGCCAATTCTGGTGTTTTCAACTAAATGACAATTAAGTACGATTAGTTCAAAATTCACAAATTTCATGGGCTTTTACCCATGACTTTTGTCTATTCACTCGTTCGACCTTGACAATTATTTATGCGTACTTCAGATTTACGATTGTCATGGTCTATAAATTGTCTACATCAAAATTTGCAATTTTCGTCAGAATCCACGAGTTCTGTCAATTTTGATTCGTTTTGAAAGAATTTAAATAAATTATGTGTACATCGAAATTCATGATTTTCATGAGCCACAACCCACGATATTAACTAATTTTCATTCCTTTCAAGTGAAAGTAAATTTATTATAGGTACATAAAAATTTGTAATATTCATAAGCTATAACCCACAGTTTTTAAAGATTTTAATTCGATTTGAAAGAATACAAATAAATTATGTGTACACTGAAATTTGAGATTTTCAGGAGCTATATTCCACAAATTTATTTAATTTTGGTCCATTTCATGTGAAAGTAAATTTAATGTGTACATCAAAATTTGAGGTTTTCATGGGCTATCCATGACTTTTAACAAATTTGGTTCGTTTTGGAAAAATGTAAATAAATTATGTGTATATCTAAATTCACAATTTTCATGAGCAATAATCCATGATTTTAGTCAATTTTTATTTTTTAAACAAAACTTAATTTATTATGTGTACATCAAAATTTATAATTTTCATGGGTTGTAACTCACGATTTTTGAAAATTTTCGTTCATTTTGAAAGAATTAAAATAAATTATGTATACATCAAAATTTACGATTTATGAACCAGAACTCACAACTTTTGCCATTTTTTGTT